AGCTATATTTGGAAAGTTTTAAATCCAAATTCAATTTAATTTCAAATTGGATTGGATTTAATTACTCCACTCCTTAATTAGTAAACCCCATTTGGAAACTTTTAAAAGCTCTCCAAATCCTCTCCCTCCCCTCATCATGTCGTCGGCCCATTAATGGGCTTCACCCATTGATTGCCTATTTGGATCCTAAGCCTTGGTTGAATTTGAATTCGAATTTTCAAATCCAACTCCCTCCAAATCCACTTAAATCTGAATTAATTTCAGATTTATTAAAACTTTCCCTCCCAACCCCAACCTAACCTAGATCCTAACTTACCTAGCCGCCCCTACCCTCTCCCTCCTCGGCCGCCCCCTTTGCCACTTAGAAACCCTAAGCCTCTCATGTATTTTGAAACCACAAGACGAAGGCAAGCTTCTTCCTCCCTCTTTCCTTTGGTTTATGGCCGACCCGGAGGTCGATCCCGGTCTTGCCTACAACACCCAAGGAGAGATTGACATCCTTCGTTCTCCTTTCTACGAACCAGAGTGGGAGTACGACGACTCGGTGAAAAGCTACGTCAACCGCATCATTTACTGTCTCGCCAAGACGATCGAGATTCAACAACCCAGACTTGGCTTCTCATCGGACGATCCACTCTTCCTCCACCGCCGGTTACCATTCCATCAACGAAGGTCTTCGGCGCCATCCTCCTAGTGGTAATCTCCTTCCTCGTATGGTTCGTCTTTCTCCGCTAAAGCCTAAGAGTGATTGAGTGAGAAGGTACTCAAGGTGAACCTCTCGTTATTAAGTGATGGATTATGTTATGTGCATGTAACATTTACTATTGTCTTTGGATTTTGATTGGATTGTTTGGTTAATCTCAAGAGCGTTGCTTTGCCTAAGCAAGTTGAATATTTTGAATTCCTAACTCTTTATTTGCCAACAATAATTTTATATTAGCAAGTTTTAATCAATTGTTCCTTTTAATTTCTCAGGTAACTCCTAGTTGATTCACATCACCATAGCTCTTCTAAAAGGTAAAGACATTACTCTATTCATCTTATTCAATCTTATATGATCTTTGACCCTATTTCCTCTAGCTTCTAGGTTATATCGTGTCTTTGTCATATGTTACTATTCCTAAGATATATCACGAAGCGCTGTAGAATATTTGATGGAAACAAACCATGGATTTCAAAATGTCTGTCTTGCTCAATCAATGAACATAAGATTTGGTGACACCTCATGTTATTAAACTGGACTTATATAGATAGGTCTACACCATCAATTTTCATATGGACAACTCCAATGATAAGTACAAGGCATATCTTGTCGTTAAAGGTTTTACTAAAATAAATGGGAATAACTATCTTGACACATTCTCTCATATTGCTCTGCTCAACTCTACTTGGATTCTTTTGTTTGTCACCATCAATCAAAGTTGGCCTTAACTTCAAATGGATGTCAGTAATAGTTTTCATCTCATTAAAGCTGTAGTTATGTATGTGGAGCAACCGCCTAAGCATGCTGCTCAAGTGAAAACCAAAATATGCAAATTCAATAAGGCTATAAATGGAACAGCCTTCAAGCTTCGTCGACAAATTTGAAAAAGTTCTTGCCAAGGTTGGCCATCGTAGAAATTCAGTATATCACTCAATCTTTGTCTGACATAAGTGATCTTATTCTATTATTATGGAAATCTATGTTGATGATATTTTTTTTATTATTGGAGGTGATTTAAATAAGAGTTATTAAATTATTTTCTATAAAAGTTTTTTTCTGATAAAAGATTTGGGGTCAACCCAAATACTTCTTGGGCATTGAATTTTCCTACAACAAAGGAGTTTCGTTATCTCAAAGGAAGTATGCAACTAACCTTCTTGAATAAATAAAGATATTATGCTACAAGCTTGTTAATAATCCAATTGAAAAAAAATTATTATAAAAAATGATGAAATACAGAAAGACATTGCTTTTTATTAATGATTGATTTGTAAATTGATTTATCTCACCATCACTAGAGTAGATAAATCCTTTGTTAATGGATCTATAAGTCAAAACATGCCAACTCCTAAAAAGGAACATTGAAAAAGAGTTCTATGTATCTTTACCACATTAAGATGTCACCAGGATGATGAACTCCAATAAACAAAGAAAGAACATCTTAATGTGGAATCTTTCTTTACCGATGGCTATGCTAGGTCCATTGATGAATAGGATATTTACATTTGTTTGATGTACAATTATATGAGACAATCACATGGAAGAGAACGAAATAAATAATGGTGACGAGATCAAGTGTTAAGAATGAATACGGCGTCCTACTCTATGTGAGATAATATGGGTTAAGACCCTCTTAAGGAAAATTGGTTTTTCCAATTTCCCAGCCAATGATTTTAAATTATGACAATCATTTTGCTATCTACATTGCTAGTAATCTTATGTTTCATTAGAAAAAAAAAAAGCACTAACGTTGATTACCATTTTCTTCAAAAAACAATACTATCAAAGAAGATTGTCATTCCTCCTGTTCCAAGATCAGAACCAGCAAATATTTTCAACAAGGCTCTTGGCCAACTTCAATTTCCAAGCTATTAACAAGTTTGAGCTCATTGATATATATATATATATAGACGTAGATATAGATATATAAATTTTATCTTTATAAAGCACAATTGATCTTTGTTATTTTTATCCTCATAATTAAGAAGATATTCGCTATTTTATTTCATACCTTTTGTATTCACTCTAATTGTCTATATATTGGCACACTCAACAAATAAAGCATCACAAAGCTTTCCCTACTTGGAAAGTTTTTAAATCAATTACTGCTGTAATTATGCCATTTAAATGCCTAAGCTCCACAACAACAACAAGTCTTTATCTCATTATGTGAGGTCAGTTAAATGAATCCTTTCTCTCTATTTGCTTGCTTTCTTTGAAACCTTTGGCAAGGTTTACCTTCTTTCAATGATATTTGGAATGATTAATGAAAAGGATTTTCCATCTCTTATTTTTCTTAATTATCATGCGAGTTGAGTTAATATGTCTCATATTTCCGCTTCTCACATTCCACAAGATGATGTTGTAATTACTTAATTTCTCTTGGCAGGCCTTCCATGGTGATTTTTGAACTGGATGTTGGTGATCCCTCTTAGGCAGCATCCTAACCTAGGGCTCTCATGCCACTTGACACTGAAATTTAGTGAAAGAGAGCTAAGAGGTAGGCGCTTACATGACAATCAATCTCAAGTTTCTTGTGAAACTAATTGACAAAGCAAGCTTGTGAAAAAAATGGGAATAAAATATTAAAGGAACAGTTGACAATGATTACCAACTTCATGAGCCTTTCCTTCCCAATGAATTTCCGTTTTTGACAGGGCGTTAGTGCTGAAACCTGCTAGCCTGAACTTCCTCCAGCAGTTGCTGCCAATACAGTTCCCATGAAAGGCAATTATTCGTTGGCTCTCGGCCTTATGACTTAGATGCCTCAAATTCTCATCTAAATTTAATAAAGTAAGACCATTTCTAATATTTTCTAATCAAGTCTTTTTAGGTCTACCTCTACCTTTCTTAAAATAAATCAAATCTAATGCATCTACTTTCCTAACCGGGTCATCGGAAGGCCGCCATTTTATGTGACCAAACCATCTAAGGCGACTCTCTCTAATCTTATCTTCTACCAGAGTAACTCCAATGCATATTTGCTCTTAAAGACAGGATACAAAATGAGCATATACATAAAAAGGAATTAGAATCCACAATGAAAGAAATTAGAATCCTGTCTTCAATCTTCTTTCTTTTTTCTCTCTTTATCTTCCTTTCCAAGCGGTGACCCATCTAAGACATCACAGTCACCAACTCTAGCCAGAGGCTGCCGCCTGTTGTAGGTGTTCTTAGTGTCTGTAAATCCCTCCATCTGAAGTGGCCAAACAGTCGCCCTGCAACCAACTGCTACAGTATGACATATAGAATTTCGCAAAACACTGCTTGGAGTTTACTCATTTCAGCAAGTAAGGAATATGGCCCATAAGCATCACTATTTTTTGCTAAAAGACAACAGGAATACGGCCTGTGTTTCTCTGTACAATATTCTAACCATCTGCATGACCACATACAGAATGACATTCAGAGGACAATCCTCCATGCAATGAAGTTTCACATGATCAAGATGTTCTCATACCTACACCCACTAACCAAGCAGAAAACAACCTAATTCCAATCATCGGCCACAAGCTAAATGGCCACAACTATACCCAATGGTCACAAGTTGTGAAGATGTTTATTTGTGGGAGATGCAAAGTTGACTACCTTACCGGATCAATCCCAACTCCAAGAAAAAAAGATCCAGCGTACAAAATCTAGAAATTAGAGGATAATAAGAAAATATCAATGCTTATCAGCTCCATGACCATCGAGATAGGAGAATATTGCTTACACAAATCCGCTGCTAATGTGATTTAGAAAGCTATCAAAAAACATACTCAAGTCATGTGAACATATCAGAACTCTTCTCGATTGAAAAAACCCTCCAAAACTACAACCAAGTTAACATATTTGTTACTCAATATTTCGTTCTCTCAAACGTCAATGGCAATAACTTGATACATTTGAGAACCATGATTGGAAGCACTCTCATGATGAAGCATTGTATAAATCAATCATTAAGAAAAAAAATGTGCTTAAGCCCTCATGGGACTAAATAATGAACTTGATGAGGTTCAAGAATAAAATTGGCCCCCTTTTAGCATTCACAAAAACAGGCCAATATAATTAGAATAAAAAAAGGAAGATCTAACTTTTCCAACTCACAGCATGGAGAAACTATCAAAGTAACCAAACTTCTGGAAAAGTGGCACTAGAATTCACCAAACAAGAAAAAAAAAAACATGCAAACAAATTAGAATCAAAATGCATTTGTCATCTAAAATTCTTTATGCAACACTCAACAAATATATCTTACATAATAAAAACAACTCTTCTGCGGGTAAAATGGAAGGTGAGATTTGCGGAGTATTACCTCAACTGTCATGGGAGTGAACACCAGAAGGTTAGAAAGATTGAAGCCAAGAGAAGAGAGGAGAAATCCAAGTTGGTATCGCTCCAGGGATGATGACAATTTCCATGGATGGAGGTATGCAAATGCTGCCAGTGAAGAAGCAGCGCACACTGAAACAAGTGTAAAGTATGCTGGGAACATCTTGCTCTGAAGGTTTCCAAACTGGTGCCTCGGTAGATTCCTTAATTTATTCACCCCAAAAAAATTATGAACAAACTAAGACATTAAACAAAAAATTAAGCTCGCAACGAAAAAAGAAAGGTTAAAGGGTATTGCATGCAAAACATAAATTATTGCAATCAGGGAAGGAAAAAACATCATTGTAGTGTCTCCCACCCCCACCCCTAGTCCAACAAAAAACCAAAAAAATCCATTGAAAACAAACTCAAACTATGAGGATTTAGGATTCGATGGCAAATTTACTCAAGATTTTAACCAATTCCCACGAAAGAGTATAGGAGATCTAAAATCGGTCTTACAGTAAATCACATATTTAACCAAATATGCTGAATCATAAAAGCCAAATTGAATAAAATAATGATATGCATATTTTATGCTGACTAGTGAAACACTTCACTATACAAATTTCATTTCATAGCTTGCTCCTATGCGTGCTCCCAACCTGACTGCAATACTCATCTTCTCCACATGCTATAGGCAATCCCAAACCTTACATATTCAAAAATACTTTAAACATTTTATACGTTCTATGAAATTTCTCGAAGTATAATATAATTTTGCATACATTATATCAAAAATGCACTCATTTGTGAAAAGAGCGACCAAAGTGACTATCATCCCAAAGTTGGGCCCTCTCATCATTATATCTAGGGGTGTCAATTCGGGTCAATGGGTCGGGTTCGGGTCGAACCCGGAACTGACCCGGCACTGTTCGGGTCAACCCGAATCCGACCAATTTTTAAAAATGGGTCAGGTTTCTAGACCCGAACCCGACCCGATTCGGGTCCGGGTCAACCCGACACGACACGAATGACCCGGGATTGACCCAAAATTGCTAATTTTCGGGTCAATAATCGGGTCAATCTCGGGTTTTCGGGTCAATCTCGGGTTTTCGGGTCAAAAATAATTTTTCGTGTCACTTTCGGGTCAATTTAGGGTTGGCGGGTCAACCCGAACCCGACTCGATTTTTAAAACAGGTTGATTTCATGAACCCGAACCCGACCCGTTTCGGGTTTGGGTTGACCCGAACCCAGATTTTTCCGGGTCGGGTTCGGGTCAGGTTTCGTGTCGTGTCAAAAATTGACACCCCTAATTATATCTTAGGATATCACATGCAACAACTACTTTTATAACAACTCATTAACTTTTCAAAAGTTTTTGGTACCCCTCTGCCTAGAAATAGGATTAATTTTGGCTTATTCTAATGCGCTGACAACAAAGGAAAAAGCATTTTATTATCATATTTAAAGAGAACTTTATGTATTATTTAGGTTCTTCTTTGAACATTTGAAATCCAAGTCTTCTCTTCTCAATCCTTTGTTGGTTTTATCTTTTTCCAACAATCTTTCATCAAAGGTTCAGTATTGTATCTTGCATCCATTATTATGTTCAATATTAACCAAAACTAGAGGTATTGGAATGGTGCCCTTGCAAAGAACCAACATGTGGGATATCCCAGCCTTTAAGAATAAGAGGGAAAGAAAGTACTTGTAGGGAATGTAGAATAGTTAGGGTAGTACAAAAGCTTCTCCATCTATGGTGGAATATGAGGCGTAATGGATTTTCCAATAGAATGATACTTGGGACGTAGACAAACACATTTGCTACCAAATCATGTTAATATTAATTTGCATTCTCTCTTTCATATTTACTTGTATTTACATTGGTTGTGCTTACAATAATGCTTATGTGGTGATTACCATGTGTTGAATGATTGTGTACTACTGTTTTTGAGTAAACAATTATAACCATGCTTAAAGTTTCTTTGCTGACACATCTAGCATAATATAAATCAATCATCATCATATAGCTTGTGCGTTCATTATAGATTGATTGGATAGTTTTATCCATTGTGCTAGATTGTTTGGACTAAATTGGAGGAGTTTGCAAAAACTCTTTGAGTGTATTGTGGCACGGCAAATAAGTGGTATCAAAGCAAGCTCTCATAATTAAAGGCAACCAATTGCAACAATTATCAAAGCAAGGGGCACTCCATATTAGCCTTAACATCCAAAAATAGATTGTTAACGCACAAATCATGTTTGTTTATTCCTTGTTGGAAGTGCACCAATTAAAAAGATGCCAAATGTTTTAAAACATATTGTTAAAGCCTAGCCGTCCCTTAACATTTTGATCCCACGACTAGGATGGGAATCCATGGGAGGCCCACATGGATCATGCCGATCTCCTTCCATATTTAGTTGATTGATTTAGGAAGGATTATATTAGAGAAAGTATGCATGATTTTGTAATTCTTTGTATCTTTATTAAGATATCTTGGATAGATCTATAAATAGGGATAGTTTTGTGGAATAAAATTAAGTCATTTCCCTCTTAAATTCTCTGAATTTAACATGGTATCAGAGCCTTCATTGCCATTGCGAGAATTTTGAGTTTTTGTACTAGCGTGCCTTCATTGTCGGCCTTCCCTTGTTATTATCCTATCTATAACCAACACATCCTTCATTGCTTCCCTGCATGATATAGCCTTCATCGTTATCATTTGTCGTCGCAATGTTTGAAGCAAATTCATCCCAAAGCTTTAACCAAATGGAGGACTCTATGATGCACCAAGGAAGAGGAGATCTCCAAAATATGCATTCTTCCTATCGCTTAAATGGGAAGAATTACTTGAAGTGATCTCAATTTGTGAATACCTACTTGAAAGGTAAAGGAAAGTTGCACCTCCTTGGGATAGGATCAAAAAAAGGAGATCATAATATTTAGGCATGGGATGAAGCAGACTCCATGATTATGTCATAGTTGTGGAATTTCATATTTCCAGAAATTAGTGATACTTTATGTTCCTATCTATTGTAAAGGACATAGATAGAACCTTTAAAAAAAAAAATCTATTATAAAGGACATATAGGATGCAGCCAGACAAACCTTCTCAAAGGCTCGGGATGCTATCTAGATATTTGAAATTAAGGTCAAGGTGGGAAGCACAAAACTATCCATATTTATAGATGTATAGAAAATATCTTAATAAAGAAACAAATAATTATAAAATCATGCATAATTTCTCTAATATAATCCTTCCTAAATCAACCAACTGAATATGGAAGGAGATTGGCATGATTTAGGTAAGCCTCACATGGATTCCCATCCTAACTGTGGGATCAAAATGCCAAGGGACGGCTGGGATTTTACAAGTGAACATCCCATTGATTCTCATCCTAGCCGTGGGATCAAAATGCCAATGGAGGGCTATGATTTAACACTCTCCCTCAAGCTGGGGAATACAGATCTGTCATTCAACTTGGTAATCAATCCCAGAAAGATAGAATTATCGAGTCCCTTGGTAAGAATATTTGCAAGACGATCTTTTGATGAGACATGATCGATACATATAAGACTGTTGTCTAATTTAACACATTTTTTTTTTTTTAGTTTTGAAAACTAGAAAGTCTAGAATGAGTGTTTTTTTTATTTTTTATTTTTGCAATCCACACGAATAAATTCAATTTATACAATTAAATTCAAAGTATGTTGCATGTTTTTATTATGCAGTCATGTTGAAAGAACACTAATAAATGATCTAAAAAACCAGCAAAGACGCTATCTTAACTGATAGAGTCATTGGAAAAAACCAGTAAAGATGCTATCTTCAGTTCTTCACTAATAGAGTCATTGGAATGTAAAAGGAGGAGACCAAAAAACAATTATCTCAAGAAAGGGTGACACAAAACCCCATGAAAACAAATAATATCAACATATTTCCAAGGAGGAAAGAAGGATGTGAAAGAAAGAATGGAAACAAGAAAATCACTTAATGGTCTTGTAACAAAAGAAAAAGAAAGACAAGCTTATGAATCTGATGAACATAAAGTAAATGATCCCTCATTTGTTATCTAATGTTTGAATTATAAAACACTTCACTAAGATCACCAAGACCTACACATGATTCTAATGGTAGTAGACCCAAACATATTTGAGTGCCAAAAAACAAAGGCTTGATATAATAGGTGTAGGTACTCCTTTTTGTTCTTTTGGAGAGCCAATGAAGACATGACGATGTGGTTATAAGAATTGCTTTCGATTTCTTAAATGAATCGCCTTCAATTGGTTGGATGAAAACATTTACGAAATTAAAAAAACCCTTAAATCCCCACATCCTCAACACTCATCCAAACAATGCTCAAGGAGTAGCTCAGATTCAATAGCTGACCATCGAAACAGCTTTCAGAAATTAACACCCATAGGATTTACTAAATCCTAATGACATCCTTCGGCCTTTTAAACCAGCAAAAAAAAAAAAGAGCAATAGAAGTGTGCAGCTAAAGAAAACGTATTAGCTAGACCACGGTTGTTCTTACTACGAAGATAAAACAGAATAACATTTCTAGGGTTTTTAAGTAGAATAAAGTTACTTAAACATGATGATGCCACCGATGAAGGTGACCCAGAGGGCGGCACCGAAAGAGGTCGCGAAGCAGAGAAGATGGGCAAGCTTTGCAAGGGAAACTGCTACCGCAGGGGAGTCCGCCGTCGACCCGAAGAACTCCGGAGCGAAGACCACCCCGGCCGCCAAGAATGCAACCGCCGTGAGGAACCTCGTCGACCACGCCATTGGAGACTGGCAGATTTTTCCAAACGACTCTGTTTATTAGGTGGAAGTGGACAAGGCGAGAATGGCCCGAATAATCAATGCACTTTAAACGCTGCTATTGGGTAGTACCTAAATTTAACCCATACTAATTATTAGTCTGTGAGGGGCTGTTGAGTTAGCTGTATTTAAATATAGAGTAAAATAAATAAATTAGTTTTAAAATTTTTAAATATTGGGTGATTTTAATCATTTTATTTTAAATGTAATATAGTTTGAGAGTGTATTTTAAAATTATCCTTTATTTTTTTGAGAGGTTCTTTGACCCCAAACAAACATGTCAACATTGATTCTTCCAATTCCATATACTATATATGATGTATATTTGTCACATCAAGCCAAGATTTTCCTCTTAAGGAATGGCCTCATTTATAATGGACTGTAAACACTAATGGATTCATTCAGACTGGGCCAGGCCCAATGGTTTTTCTCCCTTTTCAGGGGTTTCCACATAAAAATTTTAGTGTCTCTTATGAACGTTATACCCTCTCTTTCATCTGCTTGTGTGTTGGATCTTCGTACAACACTAACACGTTTAACTTTATCACTCTCTACCGCCGCAAATATTCAAAGATGCAACAAGGATCATCTAAACTCCAATTTCAATAAACTTGCAGTCGAACTGAACGTCTTGAAAATACAAACCCAACGAGACCAAATTTGACTCAATCCAACCCAAATGAATCCAATTCAAAGACCCGATGCGCATTTAAAAGGTTCAAACCACAAGTTGGATTACCAAATGGTTTCCAAATGTGACATGCTTATAGTCGAATTGAGCGCACTATGAGATGAATCCAATGAACCCAAGTTCGTCAAATTATGATATCATTAAGACATTCAAATTTTCAATAAAAGATCCATGATCAAGGGAATCAACACCGGTTTTCCATTCAAAACACTCCCAAATTACCCATGATCTCCCTCCTATTTACTAGTCATGCCATAATCATACAATTATAAATAGACCCCTCATTTCTCATGGAAGGGGGAGGAAGGGGCCCAAGCAAATAAGAGAAGAAAGATATGGAGGAAAGCTCTCTTGCCACCAAACTCCTCATCGACCACCGTCGGACTTTCACTTGGCCTCCAACTGACGTCGGACTTCTACCCGGCCACCAACTAACGCCAGAATTTCATCCAGCCACCGATTGATGACAGATTTACACTTGGCTTTCAACTAACACTAAACTTCTTCCCGACCACCAACTAACGCCAGAGTTTCATCCATCACAAAGTTCTGCCCTTCGTCAGACTTTTACCCATTGTCGGACTTTCATTAGACTTTTGCCTTGCGTCTGACTTCTATCCATAGATGAACTTCTACCCGTTGTAAAACTTCTATCAAACTTCTGCCCAACGCCAGACTTACGTCCATCACCGGACTCCTGCCCAATGTCTAATTTCCGTCCATTGTCGGACTTCCGCTCGTCACCACACTTCCACCCTACGTTGGATTTATAACCATTGTCCGACTTCTGTCATGCTTCAATCTGACGCCGTATTACCATCCATATTTGAACTTCTTCCTAATGTCGGACTTCCATCCATCGTCAGACTTCCGACCTTTATTGTTAGATAACGATCTTTCTAAGCATTATTGCTCGCCGACTACGATTCTGCTGACCTTAGTGCCAGGCAACGATCTTTCTAACCACTATCATATGCCGACTATGATCCCTCCGACCACCATCAACAAACTTCGATCTTTCCGACCTCCGTCGCCCTCCCGATTATTGTCCTACCGACCAAATAAACATGTTAATATTGATTCTTTCAATTCCAATCATGCAATGCGCTCTATATGATATATATTTTTTGCATCAAGCCAAGCCCTTCCCCCAAGGAAGAGACTCATTTATAATCGACTACAAGTACTAATGGATTCAGTCAAACTGGATCAGACCTTTCAAATAGATATTGATGCATATATATTTATATGATTTATTGTATATTCTTCTCTTTTATATTGTATTGATTTGAGTTGTAAGATTTTGATTACTTGTTGGGCTATGTGTTCATTACATGGCTTTACTTTTTTTTAAAAATAAAAAGATAAAGATTCTATAATATAAGGCTCTAGAAAAAACAAAAATATAATCATGTTTCTTTTCGTTGTTCATTAGTTAGCTATAATTAATTGGTTAAAATGAAAGTCTGATTTAATTCATCTAATATAAAATCTAGAGTATGACATCTTCTCTCTCTCTTTTTCTCTCTCTCAAGCTTCCCTCTTTCTCTCCCTAGCTCAAAGATTACTTCGTAACGCTTTCTCATAGAAGACATAATCCAATGACTGATAAAAGACTCTTATAAGTATGTTAAGAAAGCTTAACTAGAATGCTTCAAACGACCCTAAAAAATCAATTCAAACGTCTCAGTTTGTAAAGTACAATTTGAAGATTGTGCATTATGATTTATATATTTTTGACTTGTTAGGACTGTATAATTATCAGTTAATATAGTACAATCAATTCAATTATTATTTGTTATTATTGTACTATTAATATAGTACAATCAGTTTAATTCTTCACTAATCGTAGTGTACAAATGAATAGTTGTACAATACGATCAGTTCAATAGAATTATAGTTCATTTAGGATAAATCTTAGGACAACCAAATATTTTCTAATTCAATTGTCCAATATGATAAAAAACTTAATTAATGTATATTCGATTGATTAATCCTAGGATTTTAATTAGGCAATATTTTAAACATCGTATTCAATCAAATTTGTATAGTATGAATAAAACAAAATAAAAAATTTAAAATATTGCTTAATTTAATTAACGACAGGTTTCCTGATTACAACTGATTGTCCAATATAATGTGTGTTCGTATTGTACTATTTTTTATATTTGAAAATAAATTTTTTGAGTTAAATGAAATATTTTAATTAATTTCTATTTCTACAGATCGTACAATACAATTTTCAGATAAATTAATATTTTTATTTATACTCCCCTATGTATGTATGCACGTTTGCGAAGCTGGTATACACCTTTCATAATACAAAGACTTAAGAAAGATAAAATTACAGACTTCTTAAAAAATAAAAAATAAAAACATCAATCATACATTACCTAATCTTGAGCCATAATCCTTTGGCGGTGCTTGTCGTATGCCAAACCTCCAATGTGAGTACACACATAAATATATGCAATAATAAAACATAGGATAAATCAAATACAATCCAATAGTATTTGTTATTATCATAACATAAGGTCGAGCTCTCGAATTGCAACAATCTCCCCTTTTTGACGATAACAAACATTGTTGATTAAAATACAAATTGTTTTTATTTTTCTCATAAGTCCTAATAATAAAATATAAAATAAAGAATAGAGTAAAAATAGTTTCTCCCTGTTTTTTTAAAAGATCACTTTCATTTTAAAATATTTATTCATATATTTTTTTTTTTGTTACAACATATTATTTGACTTGATATAATGAACACTGATGGTAAAATAAGATTGATGACCAACTGGTGGACATTTGGAGTTAAATTAAAGACTGATGAACAACTGATCGATAGTTGGGGTGGAATGATGAAAATTTCACATTAAAATTGGATGGCTCGCCTATTTTGATAAGTGTTTTCATGAATACATTTACATGATCATGGTTGCATTTATGTGATAGTTTATTGAGCTATTTTGATAAATAGAAATGATATATAATTGATTGAACTAGTATTGATACTGATACAACATATCATAGTATAATGACCTAATACATTAGTTGATAGTTATTTTACAAGTTTTTCTTATAGTTGATAGACCTCATTTTGACTTTATTGGTCATATTAATTTTATTATTATTTTATACAAATTTTATAGATTATTTATAGCTTATATGGATAGACTATTGATTGTTGATTAATATATACTAAAATTAGAACACGCATTTAATTCTCTTACCTTGCATTGAATGCAGTGGTAAATTTTGGTTACTTAATGGGCTATGGGTTTATTATATAGTTTTAAATGATTTCAAATTAAGATAAGGAGCTAGCCAATGACTATAATTTAGTTCATTTTTTAGCCCTTTTGTGTTATATGTATTCTTTTGTAGCTTGTAGTGACTATTATATGTTATTTTTGAACTTTAAACTTAAAAAAAAATGTAAATATTGACTCTAAAAGTATAATTATATTTATCAATGTTTATATTTTCTTGAATGAAATTAGTTAGCTCTAGTTATTAATAATCTGATGGTTAAATAATTGAAAAGAGTAAAGGATGATAAAGTAAAAAAGAAATGAAATTCTTCAACTTTAGATCCTGAGATTTGACAAGAACAAAACAAAAAATCTTCCACATCTATACTACTATATAAAAGTGGCTTGGGATTCCACTCATATCAAATCTTAGTCATTCATTTATAAATATAAAATTCAATCTTCACCGTTCATTTATAACTCTCCGTATTCTTTATTAATAACTTTAATTTCACAAGAAGCGTTTCTCATCAAAATATTTTCGCTCAAACCAAGCGTTCCTTCTCCCCACAATTTTTAATTTCGACAGGGCGTTTCAAATCGTTATCTCATAACAATTAACAAATATAAAAACGAAGGATGCGCCACTTCCAGCCACTTTTGCTATTAAACCCTTTCCACCTTTCGCTATTTGGCCACGTCCAACCCTAAATCCTCCCGCTTGCGTGAAAACCCAACTTGGCGTGAGGCCATCGCTGCCCATATCTGCCAAAAAAAGGTTTGAGAAATGAGAATCAACCCCATTTGTCTTCCTTTTCCTGTTTATGTTTGGGGATAAATCTGCCCTTGTCTTATTCTCTACTATCTTAAGCTCTTCATATAAATATGTTTGAGCTATGTAGTTTCACGATAAATTCTGCAAGGCCATATTAGTTCCTCCAATTTAGTTTTTTTTTTTTTCATTCGTTTTTATTTTCATGCATATTAACTTGCATCATGTTTATTTTCATGCATAATAACTCTGCTCATCACCATCACCGCTATTTCACCAATCCTTTTCTTATAGAGACCATCATTTCCTCTTCCT